GACAAGACCAGCCCTTCAAGAAGTACTCAAAACAGTGTTACCCACGGATCGGCACAATAAACACTCATGAATGTAAATCTACTCAAAGCTAAAGATCAAAGCCCAGACACTACAATGGCTCAAGAGAGAAAACAAAGCAACAAAGTTCAACCCAACATAATGAACAGAAATCTTCCCCACCTATCAGTTATCTCAATAAATGTGAATGGCTTGAACTCCCCACTCAAGAGACATAGGCTGGGCGAATGGATAAAAAAACACAAGCCAAGTATCTGCTGCCTTCAGAAAACATCTAACCTGCAAGGACATTGGCCTAGGCAAAGAATTTATGAAAAAGATCCCAAAGGCAACACACAAAACAGCAACAAAAATAAACAGCAACACAACAGCAACAAAAATAAACAAATGGGACCTAATGAAATTAAAAAGCTTCTGCACAGCCAAAGAAACTGTCAAGAGAGCAAACAGACAACCCACAGAATGGGAGAAAATTTTTGCAAGCTACACATCTGATAAAGGGCTGATAACTAGAATCTATTTAGAACTCAGGAAAATCAGCAAGAAAAAAATCAAACAACCCTATCAAAAAATGGGCAAAGGACATGAATAGAAACTTCTCAAAAGAAGACAGAATAATGGCCAACAAACATATGAAAAAATGTTCAACATCTCTAATCATTAGGGAAATGCAAATCAAAACCACAATGAGATATCACTTAACTCCAGTGAGAATGGCCTTTATCAAAAAGTCCCCAAACAACAAATGCTGGCATGGATACGGAGAGAGAGGAACACTCCTACACTGCTAGTGGGACTCCAAACTAGTTTAACCTCTGTGGAAAGCAATATGGAGATACCTCAAAGCGATACAAGTAGATCTACCATTTGATCCAGCAATTCCACTACTGGGCATCTACCCAAAAGATCAAAAGTCACTTTATGAAAAAGACACCTGCACTTGAATGTTTATAGCAGCACAATTCACAATTGCAAAGCTATGGAAACAACCCAAGTGCCCATCAATTCATGAGCGGATTAATAAAATATGGTATAATATGTATACCATGGAGTACTACTCAGCTTTAAGAAACAATGGTGAGATAGCACCTCTTGTATATTCCTGGATACAGCTGGAACCCATTCTACCAAGTGAAGTATCTCAAGAATGGAAAAACAAGCACCACATGTACTCACCAGCAAATTGGTAACGGATCAACACCTAAGTGGACATATAGGAGTAACATTTATTGGGTGTCGGGAGGGTGGGAGGGGGGAGGAAGGGACCGGTATATACAAACACAACGAGTAAGAAGTGCAACGTTTAGGGGATGGACATGCTTGAAGCTCTTACTTGAGGGGAGAGGGGGAGCATGGGCAATATAAGTAACCTTAACACTTGTACCCCCATAATATGCTAAAATAAAATTAAAATTAAAATTAAAAAAAAAATAAAAAAAAAAGAACACACAATGGGGAAAGAACAGTCGATAAATGATGTCAGGAAACCTGGATACCCATATGCAAAATAGTAAAGTTGGACTCTTAACTAACACTGTATGCAAAAATAAACTCAAAATGGATCAAAGACCTAAATGTAAGACATAAAACTACAAAACTCTTGGAAGAAACCATAGGGCAAAAGCTTCACATCATTGGATTTGGCAGCGATTTCTTGGATGTGACAACAAAGGCACAGACAACAAAATTAAAAAATAGACAAACTAGACTTCATGAAATTTTTTAATATGTGCATTAAAAGACACTATCAGTAGAGTAAAAAGGCAGCACACAGAATGGGAGAAAATCATTGCAAACCATATGTCTGTTTAGGAATCAATAGCCAGAATATATAGAGAACTTCTGAGGCTCAACTATAAAAAAACCCAACAACCTTATTAAAAAACGAGCAAAGGACCTGAATAGACATTTCTCCAAAGAATATACACAAGCAGCCAATAAGCACATGAAAATATGCTCAACCTCACTAATCATCAGGGAAATACAAAACATAACCACAATAAGATACCACCCAACACCCACTAGGAGGGCTATTATAAAAAAAAATATCAGGATATAACAGGATATAACAAGTATATCAGGATATAACAAGTGTTGGTAAGGATGGGAAGGAACTGGAACCCTTGAGCGGGGTATATATGGGAAATCTCTCTACCTTTCTCTTGATTATTCTGTAAACTTAAAACTGCTCCCCAAAATTGTCTTTAATAAAAAAAAGTTTAGGCCGGGCGCTGTGGCTCACGCCTGTAATCCTAGCTCTTGGGAGGCCGAGGCGGGCGGATTGCTCAAGGTCAGGAGTTCAAAACCAGCCTGAGCAAGAGCGAGACCCCGTCTCTACTATAAATAGAAAGAAATTAATTGGCCAACTGATATATATATAAAAAAAAAACTAGCCGGGCATGGTGGCGCATGCCTGTAGTCCCAGCTACTCGGGAGGCTGAGGCAGAAGGATCACTCGAGCCCAGGAGTTTGAGGTTGCTGTGAGCTAGGCTGACGCCACGGCACTCACTCTAGCCTGGACAACAAAGTGAGACTCTGTCTCAAAAAAAAAAAAAAAAAAAAAAAGTTTAAAAAGGGACCAGGTCTCCATACTGTTTGAGTCTATGGCACACAGCTCAGCATCCCGCACACTGAACTGCCCAGTAAACAATCGTGGAATAAAATGTAACAAGTATTAGAATTTATAGAACCAAAAAAAAAAAAGAGAGAGATGGAGAAATAGGAAGTGGTTATGTTCCCAATAGCCTTAAATAGATAAGGGGATTAGCTTTGACCCTATGGGTAGTGGGAAGCTACTCAAGTGGTTTCCATGTGAAAGTGACATCATTTGAAATGCATTTCAGATTAATTTCTCAGGAGGAGGACAGACTTAATCTGGGGGAGAAAGAAGCAAGGAAATTACTCTAGAAGCTGTTCCAATAGTCCTGGGGAGAGAAAATGAAGTTTTGATAAGGGGAATAGAAATTAAGGAGAAAGAGCAAGTTTAAGAAAGGTTAACATCTTAAAACTAGCAAAACCTAGATCCCAGAAGGATGAGATCAGAGGTAAGAAACAGGGAAACATTCAGGATGATTTCCATTTTGGTAGCTTTACTCTGCCTGGTGTAAACCATCACCTGGCAAGGAATAGAGTGGCAAGATTAGATGGGAGATGGGCAGACGGGCTTTAAATAACCTAAATTTTGGAACTGTTGAAAATAAGGTGCCTCTATGCATCTGTACAGAGATGGATAAGACAGAAGAGCCCAGGCTACAGAGACACATGGGTGTTAGCACCATAGAGGGCATGAAATGTGCAGGAAAGTCTGGCAGAGTAAAAAGACGAGGGAGCTAAGGATGGAAATCTGGAGATATGCCATGAGAATGGGAAAGAGGAAGAAGACATCATGAAGGAGACAAAGAAATCAGAGCAGTAAGAATGAAGCCAGAAGAATGATGTCACAAAACACCAGAGAAACAGGCCTTTCTAGAAGGTGAAAGTGTTTCAACTATCTAACACGACAGAATGTCCTAGTAAGGTAAAGTGTGGAAAACATTCACTTTACTGCAAGGAGGTTGCTGTTGAACTTTATTAGGACATACCAGGCAGGTGATAGAGAGTGGCAAATTGCATACCATGGACTAAAATGTGAATGAATAAACAGATACTTGTACCCCAATGCTCATAGCAGGATTATTCATGATAGTCAAAAGGTGGAAAACAATTCAAATATCCATCAACAAATGAATAAACAAAATGTGGTATAGCCATACAAGAGAATATTATTCAGCCATTAAAAAACTTAAGCATTGACATATGCTACATGAATGAACCTTGAAAATATTAGCTCAGTGAAATAAGACAGATACAAATATTTTATGCTTCTACTTAAATATCTAGAAATATGGAAATTCATAGAGACAGAAAGTACATGAGAAGTTACCAGGGCCTGGGGGAAGGGGAAAATGGGCAGTTATTGCTTAACACAGCGGTCCCTAACCCTTTTAACACCAGGGACTGGCTGCCTCACTGCCTTGCCTCCACCTCAGATCACCAGGCATTGGATTCTTATGGGGACTGTGCAACCTGGATCCCTCATGTGCACAGTCTGCAGTGGGATTCACACTCCCATGAGGATGGGTCTGAAGCCCCCTGCTGATCTGGGTGGGGGGAACTAGGGCAGTGATGGGAGCTGTGGGGAGTGGCTGTGGGTGTAGGTGGGGCTTAGATCAAGCTCTCAGCCACTTGCCTTCTGCTGAGCAGTGGAGTTGGGGACCTCAGGCTTAATAGGTACAGAGTTTTTGTTTGGACTGCACAACTGTGAATGTAATTAATACTACTGAACTGTATAGTTAAAATGCTTGAAATAGCAAATTTTATGCTATATATGTTTTATCACAAGAAAAAAAGTGAACAGATAGTATAGACACATTTGCCAAAAAAATATAAGGTTGAACCATCTGTTGTCCAATCTACATGTTTGAGGAAAAGTTATTTCAAAGACATGCAGTCTATTTCTTTCATTTCTCCAGACAGTTTTAAGTTTTATCCCTAGATCAAAAGAGATGTTCTGAAAAGATCTCTACCACATCCATGCTGCTTTGGCCCCATAATAAAACCTGAGTTCCACCCTCCACTTCTGACAAAGAACAATGACAGGCAACAGGAAGATTTACTACAAAGTTCTTCACTCCATGAAGAACTTCAAAGACATTTTTTTTTCAGACTCCAGTGCCAGGAATTCTTTCTGTCCCAGGAGTAACTGATTGGCTTCTTCTCATGGCCAGTGAAAAATCACATGTGGATTAGAGGGATAAAAGACAAATCTGCAGCTCTCCTTTGAGGACAGTAGGATCACATGACCACACAGCACCACAGCCACCTCTGTTTGCTTGTCAGCCACCACTTACTCTCCCTTTACCCTCCATCTGAAGATACAAACACTTACAAAAGCCAGAGAATCCTCTGGAAAACAAGATAAGGAATAAATAAAAACAACTTACCTGGGATTTGTTCATTTTCTAGTACTCCTATAAGAGCACAGAAACCTGTTCTCCAAAAGAGCATACCTGAAAGAAAAAAAGGTAAGAGGAATAGAATGAGATATCTGGCTGGCCCTGCACCTGCTTGATTCTCCTACAAACTCCCACAAACCCAATGGGTATCCTTGATTTTGCAGAAGAAAGAAGGGAAACATCTTCATGTCCCTGTGCAACTACAATATGATTTCATTGAGTGTAAACCTGCAATGTTTCCCACTGCTTTAACAATTTATATCCCCCCCCTCAAAAACACAGAAATATTTAAAACAGAATTGATTAAACATATTACAGCACTTTGCCCAGCCATAGTGGCTCATGCCTGTAATCCAAGCACTTCAGGAGGCCAAGAAAGGAAGATCCCTTGAGGCCAAGAGTTCAAGACCAGCCTGGAAACATAGTAAGACTCCATCTCTACAAAAAAGTTAAAAATTAGCAGGACTTGGCAGCTCACACCTGTAGCTATTCAGGAAGTTGAGGCAGAGGATTGCTTGAGACTGGGAGTTGAAGGCTGCAGTGATTTATGAAATACCAGACCTTCATTAAAAATGATGTTGGTAAGGGGCAGGAATCCACTTCAAGGTTGTTTTGTACATCTACTTTGCCACAATAATGTGAATTCCTGAATCAAAGAATCCACATGACGCTTTGGAAATAGGGATAGGTATTTTAAGCATAAGTCTTTTAAAAAACTGTCTCTTCTTCTTTGGACGCATTTTCTCAAAAGGAGCTTTCAACAGGAAACTTATTTCAATTTGCTTGGGTGGATAGCATTAATCCAGAGTCAGGGACTCTGACTTCTATTCATGTTTACTGATCCCAGACAAGTCATTTCCCCTTTCAGGCCCATTGTTTATTTCCTTCTTTCAAATGAAACAAAAATAGAAAATCCTGGCAACACCTCCCTGTGTTATGACTTCTTTTGACTCGATGAGATGAGCAAAGAGTGCACACAGCACATCTCTAATGCCAGACACGGCAATGGTCATCTCTGTTCAGCCTCTGGAAAGCATTAGTAAAGAATGACGGAAGGATGGCTGCGGGGTGCTGTTTAGCATGAGGTAAAAATAAAATATTCCCGTGGAATCCTCGCCGACGAAGACATTTCTCTCTCCATTTGGCCCTTGGCCACCACTCTCACCCCAGCTCCCTTCTCTTTGCCAAGTGACTCGCTGTCTCTAAGAGCTTCCGAATGTGTCGAAATCACTCAAGCCTCGGCCCTCTGGGCGATGTGCTCCTTTTCCGCATCTCTTCAGCCCCTTCTCTGAAGCCAGAGGCTGGGGGGTCGTCCGTCCTCCCGGAGACATTCCTGTTCCCCAGGGATCCTCCCCCTCACCGCAGCAGAGCCCAGGCGACAAGCTTGCCGTAGCTGGAAGGGCCCCAAGTCGGCCCGCTGAGAACAACGCAACTCCCAGAAACCCAGGCTGCGGCGCCCACACGCGACGACGCACGGCCGCTGCGGACAAAGCCAGGCTGGCCACGGGCCCGGGCTCGGCCGCGCCGCTTCCCTCGCGGCAGCCGGCTGTGGGGACCGCGCGGCGCGGGACGGCGTCGGCAGGGTCCTCGCGGCCGCGGCCGCAGAATCACGCACCACACGCAGGGAACCCAAGGAACTGCTAGGCAAGGACTCGGCCCGCGTCCGGCTCACAGAGATGTCTGCGCTTCGGTCCGGGGCCCCAGGCCACGCACTGCGAAGAGGCGAGAGCAACAGCGACATCTGCTAATCCTCACCTGCCTCACTTGCTGGGCGACCGCTATCTGCCGCCTCGGGCCCAGCCAAAAGATGGAGCCCCTGCAGCCCCACGCGCGACTGCGCGCAGGCACACGCCCCCGTACCGCCCCGCCTGAGGAACACGCGCCTGCGCAGAGAGCCCTGCTGGCTCCCGGCCGCGCCGCAGGCTGGGGGGGGTAGGTTCCGCCCACAATAGGAGCGGGGCCTGCTGGGGCCCCTCCCCCGCCAACCCCCTCGGTACCTCTCCCCACCCGCCCCACACTCGCCCCTCCCCACATCGCCGCCGCTTCCTCCCCAGCTCCACCTCATCCCTCCACACCCCACTTCACCTCACACCACCGCCACCCACACTCCTCCCCACACCACCCCATTTCTCCCCCAAACCACTGCCACCTCTCCACACCCTCGCTCCCCACATTACCAGCGCCTCCTTCACACTCCACGCACCCCCACCGCCCCACCTCTTCCCCTGCACCCGGGGCCTCCCCTTGACACAAGTTCCCCCTGTGGCGCCTGTCCCAGGCCTGGGGATGAGGAGTCTCCCTGCAGCCGCCGAGCGAGGATTTAGGAATATAGATGAAATGTTTAACCAAATTAGTCCAGCCAAGCTATTTTTTAAAATTAAATGTGAATAAAAAGAACTAAAGGGGAGTGGGGAGACAAATCTTAGAGAGCCATACATGAAATTTGGAGGTAAATCAAAACGCACACAAATGGCAAGGAAAAAAAGGATTGGTTATGTCACCCATTCTCCCTCACGTGATGGTGCTGACCTGAGGCGCCTGCCTTCTGACATTTTTACCTAACGGAAAAGCGTCCTAAGCATCCAGAGAACTGGCCTGGAACAAAGAATATTTACTGCCTTAGTGCAGGAGAAAGGGGTTTGTGATTTATCTCTGATCTTTATTACCTGTTATTGCGTTCTGCTAAGTTGGGGTTTAATTTGTTCTTTTTCTTAGTTCCTGAAGGTGTAAATTTAGGTGTTGATTTGGGATCTCCTTTTTTAATGGGAGCCTGTACAGCTGTAAATTTCTCTCTTAGCACTACTTTCAGTGCATCCCATAAGTATCAGTATGTTGTGTTTTTATTTTTATTTGTCTCAAGATATTTTCTGACTTCTCTTGTGATAGCATTATTTTTAATGAAGCCAAGATGTTATGACAAACATAGAACCATATTAAAAATTTTAATACCCTGAAATATAATATTTTCTACTCACAGAACAAAATGGAGATTATCAGAATAGAAAGCAGTGATGGTGCATGTGGACTATTGCTATGGTGTTTACAAACATTTTTCACAAATTTTTAAAAGAACGTTACTGTTTCCTCTCCCTCAAGCAGTATCTCAAGGTACAGAATCAGAAATAAAGAAGCCACCAATTTTAACTTGTAAAATTGTATAAAGATGCTTATTGTTTGAAAATATAAAAATAAGAAATGTATTGCTGTCAAGATTTCTGCAGCTTAAATTTACAAAAAAACAAAAACCTGCCTCAGTGAATCACAAGGGCAAGAAGTGACTAAAGGTGCTTACCTGTCTTTGCGTCTGTATTTGTCTTCTAGGGCTACCATAACAGAATATCACAGACTGAGCAGCTTAAATAACAGAGGTTTATTTCTCACAGTTCTGGAGGCTGGGAGTCCAAGGTCAAGATGCTGACAGGGCTGGTTTGTCCTGAGGCTGTTTTCCTTGGCTTGCAGATGGCCACCTTCTTGCCGTGTCCTCGCATGGCCTTTTCTCTGTGCACACACATCCCTGGTGTCCCTCTCTCTTCTTATAATGACACCAGTCATATCAGATTAGAGTCTCACCCTTATGACCTCACTTAACTTTAATTAAGTCTTTAAAGGCTCTATCTCCAAATAAAGTCACATCTGGAGTGGGGCTTGCATACAGTACAGGTTGAGCATCCTGAATCCAAAAGTCCAAAATCTGAAAATCTGAAATCACCAGAGAATTTTGGATTCAGGATGCTGAACCTGTATATATTCTGCAAATATTTTAAAATCTAAAAAAATCCAAACTCCAGGCAGTGGTTCACGCCTGTAATCCTAGCACTCTGGGAGGCTGAAGTAGGAGGATCTCTTGAGCTCAGGAGTTTGAGACCATCCTGCACCCTGAACAAGAGCAAGCCATCTCTACTAAAAATAGAAAAAAAGTAGCCAGGCATGGCGGCACCTGCTTGTAGTCCCAGCTATTCAGGAGGCTGAGGCAGTAGGATGGCTTGAGCCCAGGAGTTTGAGGTTGCTTTGGGCTAGGCTGATGCCACTGCACTCTACTCGGAACAACAGAGCAAGACTGTCTCAAAAAAACAAACAGGCCAGGCGCGGTGGCTCATGCCTGTAATCCTAGCACTCCGGGAGGCCGAGATGGGCGGATTCTCGAGGTTAGGAGTTCGAAACCAGCCTGAGCAAGAGTGAGACCCCGTCTCTACTATAAATAGAAAGAAATTAATTGGCCAACTAATATATATAGAAAAAATTAGCCGGGCATGGTGGTGCACGCCTGTAGTCCCAGCTACTCGGGAGGCTGAGGCAGAAGGATTGTTTGAGCCCAGGAGTTTGAGGTTGCTGTGAGCTAGGCTGACGCCACGGCACTCACTCTAGCCTGGGCAACAAAGTGAGACCCTACCTAAAAAAAATAAATAAAATAAAATAAAATTTAAAAATCCAAAACACTTCTGGTTCCATGCATTCTAGATAAGTGATATTTAACCTATATATGAATTTTCAGGGAACACAATTCATTCTACCTCTCTTTGGCTAGCTAAAGTTAAGGATTTTATGTGCTTTGTAACCAATTCCACAGAAAGGACCAGAGAATGAAAAATTTGAGGAGAGTGCAAAAACCTACCAAATCACAAAGCAGAGAGAGTCTAATGTTGAAGCTTCCATTAGGGTTTTTTTTGTTGTTGTTTTTTGGGGTTTTTTTTTTTGATGGCTTTATTTTTGCTCTGGTTTTTTCCATTAAGACTGGAATCAAGCTTACGTAAAAACTACTGGTAATTTAAGTTTCCTTTTGTGTCATTCAGTAAAAAACTAATTTCAAAAAAGATATGTAGTTATAAAAAAGTAAAGACGTAGGCACTATTCCAAAAAATGTGTAGACCCTTTGACCTAGCAATTTCTTTTCTAGAAATATGTCACATTCATTTTTACTTATTTAAGTAATATGCATAAAGTATTTATTATGTGCTAGCACTATAGGTTGTCACATTTACCCTAATTTTATGCTTGAGACAACAAAGGCACAGAAAGGTTAGAAAACTGACCCAGGATCACATAGCTAATAAGAGACCCAGGCAGAACTCCTCATGCAGCCTGGCTCCAGAGTCCTTGCTCTTACTCTCCATTGTGTGTACCTATGGGGGAAAATGTGTTGTCTATGGGGATAAATATGGGGGGAAAAACTCCACATATTTATTTGCAAAGATTTTAGTATAACATTATCTCTAACAGAAGAACACTGAGAAATAACCAAAGAAGATAAATAGTTGTCAATCTGGTGCAGCCATTATGGAAAACACTATGAAGGCCCCTCAAAAATTTAAAAATAAAACTACCATATGACTCAACAATCCCTCTTCTGGATATATACGCAAAGGAAATGAAATCAGTGCTTTGTAGAGATGTCTGAGCTCCCATGTTCACTTCAGTATTATATTAAATAGCCAAGACATGGGAACAACCTAAGTGTTCATGAACAGATGAATGGATAAAAAAAAATTGTGGTGTATATATACAATGGAATATTATTCAGCCTTAAACAAAAAAGGAGGAGATCCTGTCATATTCGACAACAAGGATGAACTTGAAGGGCACTATGCTAAATGAAATAAGCCAAACACAGAAAAAAATAATGCATGATCTCACTTATATGTGGAATCTTTATTTTTTAAGTTGAATACATAGAGAGTAGAACAGTGGTTGGGGGACATGGAAAGGGGTTATATAGGTGAAAGGATACACAATTGCAGTTCCATGATTAAGTCTAAACATCTAATGTACAGAATGAGGACTACAGTTAACAATATTGTATTATATACTGGAAATTGAATAAGAGACTCTTACCACACACACACACACACACACACATACATACATGGTAACTATGTGAGATGATGGATATTTTAATTTGCTTGGCTGTAGTAATCATTTCAGTCTGTATATGTATATCAAAACTTCATGTTGTATACCATAAATATATATATATATATATATATATATATATATATAAAGAATTATAAATCACCCATTCAGTGGAATAGCACACAGCTCTTAAAGAATGATATAATTGATCACATTTACTGATGAGGACAGGTATTCAGTTTATCACATAATGTTTGCTGTAAAAACTGAGTCTGGAGCATTTATTGATAAATAGAGCACCCATATGGAATCATAAATGCCCAGAAACAAGACTAGAATCATTCTGGACAAACTTTGCAGAGTCAACTCTGTGAAGGAGCATAGATGTGAAGGTGTGAAAAGTGAAATCACAGGAGATGGCAGGAAACACAGCTCAGAAAAGAAAGGTCAAATAGGACAACAACGGATGGGGAACATACAGTCCAGGGTATGTGTTGGACCCTGTTTCGGTGACAGGGTGCATTCCTCAGGTTAGAGGCCATCTCAGCTCCACAAAGAGGCTAACAAGCCTAGAACACCTTTAGGGTGTTAGTGGTAGTACCTGAGCCAGGCATGCTCACCTGGGCCCTTCAACTTTTCAGGATTAGTGAGCACCCTGCCCCTGCTGTGCCCCCCCAGGTAGATGCTGGAGAGAGCTTGGATCCCTCAGTAAAGACAAAACCCAGGTTCCAAGGGGCTCTGGGGTGCCTCCTGGAGCTTTTGGGAGCCAATCAGCTCTGGGTCCACAAGCTTACAACACCTTGCCAGAGGTTTCTGTTCAATTCACCTTACGTTTGAAACCTGGTTTTGTTAATTTGTCAACATTTTTAACTCTCTACAGGGCCTAGGTGACTGGTATTTCACCCCACATATATTTTACATTACAACATGGTATTTCTGGATTTCTGTAATGGTCTCCACGATGTCCTGCTGCCCACCCAGCACCTCGGGCCTCCATCAGACGTCGGAAGTGTGAA